CAAATCACAATGTAAACCAAACTATAACCTAATCCTCAGCCCTTCTAATGAATTCATTATATGCAGATGAAGGTCTGCAGAATGGCACACTTCCATATGTCTTTCTGTTTTAGTATTTAATAAAACAAAAATAGGATCTAAAAACATTTTGTTCACAGACTTTGAAAAGGCTTTTTGTTTTGACAGTGCAGATTTGTTTGATAAACTACCCATTTAGCAAGAAAATATTCAGCAGTGTTTTCACCTGCGCCTTCTTTCGCTAAAATGGTTTGATCATTTGAGCCGTGTCTCTTGATTGTCTGAAGATTGGCAGTGTCATCTCCCGGTGTGCTCTGTAGTTTACGATTTCGTCTTCCTGAAAATTAAGTTAGGAAATTAGTTTTAAAACAAATGCCTTACTGATATATTTTTTTAAATCTTAAGTTTGGATTGTAAAATTATTTTATTTTTATATCTCCAGTTTTGGAAATTGAATTGCCAGTTGTACCATCTTGGTGGAGAAAGAACTTCTCTGAAACAAGCGCTTGTCACTGTCTTCTACTGTTTCATGACACAGTATGTACCACATTGTCAACAGGAGAGTTAGCTTTGACTAACATAATCTTGGTCAAAATTAGAAAAGTACTTAGCACAGACTGCTACCAGTCTCTTGTTTAGAAGGTCTACCTGGCACTAAGCACTATAGTAGATCAGGTGGGTAGCTGCTTCAGCATGCGAAGGCTGCAAAGGAATAGGGTGTGGCTCACATCCGAAGAAGGCTCCACAGCCGAAATGTCGTGTTTTCTTTCTTCTCTTTTCAGTATGGATTTAAACCTATTACTTGTTCCTACTAAGCACTTTACTTCATTTAATGCTTGAGCAGCCTGAGAGAACCCTTATACTGTATTATAATGTTTTAAAGGTTCAAAATACACAGCTGTTAAAAGATCTACTGTACAAACCACAGGATCCCAATCAAGCTGTTGCTATAGCAAGTGTTAAATCAGTCTTTAATAATGGATCATCAAGTTAATTCTTAACTCAATTACCTGTTTCAAAAAATTTTTTATAAGAATTTATATGGTATATTTGATCATTCATCCCCCGTACAATAGCTCAGACTATTTAAGCCAAACTGAAGTGTCCTCGAGACTCAGTCAGTGATGAGTGCTTATGTACTGTAATAAAGTAACTAAAGTATATCAAGATCGGTCATGAATGATCAGTCAAAACAATGCCAAAAACATTTGAAATGTCTAGAATCTGCATACATTACTAAAAATATGCAAAGTGATTATTTTTATTTGATGCTTAATATATAAATGCAAAACACAATATAAACCAAACTATAACCCAATCCTCAGCACTTACTGTATAATGAATTCATTATATGCAGATGAAGGTCTGCAGAATGGCACACTTCCATGTCTTTGAACAGGCTTTTTGTTTTGACAGTGCTGCTTTGTCTTATAAAAACTACCCATTTAGCAAGAAAATATTCAGTAGTGTTTTCACCTGAGAAGTTATTCGTTAAAGTGCCATAGGAGCAGTGTCTCTTGATTGTTTGAATGTTGACAGTGTCATTTCCAGCTGTGTTCTGTAGTTTACAATTTCGTCTACCTGAAAATAAAATTAGAAAATTAGTTTTAGAACAAATAACTTACAGATATTTAAAAAAAAATCTTAAGTTTAGATTGAGCAATTATTTTATTTTCATACCCCCCGTTTCAGGAAATGGAAATACCGGTGGAGGCTTGTACCATCTTGGTGGTAAAAGAACTGCAAATGTCTGTCTCTGAAACAAGCGCTTGTCACAGTCTGCTGCTGTTTTTCATGCTACTGTATGTGTCACATTGTCAACAGGCGAGTTTGCTTTGACTAACATAATCCTGGCCAAAACTAGAAAATAAATTACTGTAGCACAGACCACCACCAGTTTCTTGTTTAGAAGGTTTCAAAAATTCAGAAAACAATGCTGTTAAATGTTAAGAAAAAAAGATCTAGAAACCATAGGATTCTAATCTACCTGTTGCTATAACAAATGTGAAATCAGTTTTTAATAATGGATTATTGAGTTTATTTGAAATTCTGTGACCTGTTCTAGAAGGATTTTTTAGCTGCTATATAACTTGATAATTGATCCATCATCCAAAAACTCAGATGCCTGCTTCACTTTGTCCTGAAGAGTCACTCTTCAGTCAGTGATGAGTGCTTATCTAATAAAGTAACTTGAGCATATCAAGATCAATCATGAATGATCAACCAGTCAAAATAATGCCAAGAACATTTAAAATCTGCATATATTGCTGAAAACATGCATAGAAAGTGCTTATTTTAATTTTATTCTCAATATATAAATGCAGAACAAAACCTTAAATGAACCCTGACCTAAATCTCTGCACCTTAAATGAATGGAAATCTGTATATGCATATCTGTATATGCTGATGAATGTCTGCAGACTGAATCACTTCCATATTTCTTTATCTGTGTGTTATTAAT